GTAGCTGCGGGAAAAGCCACCTCGGCCGTGTGCCTCAAGTCAGGGGAAGCGACTTTTTGCATTGGGCTGGCTTCGAGGGCGGCAGGGTGCCGTGGCTGCGCCTCAGGGGGACGTGTTGGCTGGGGCGTGAGAGGGCAGGAGAAAGGCTTTGAGGCCCCCGAGGCGTCAGTATGGTCACAGCAATGGCGTGACTCGGGGAGAGGCCTGGGCTGTAGCCCCTGTGCGGGGCGTACCGAGCTGTCCGCCCTGGCTCTGCGTGGCCGAAGGCTGAGGTCTGTGCGCAGGCTCCCAAAACCGCCTGGCTGTGCAGGGGAGCTCCCATGGCAGAGAGTCAGCAGCCACAAAGTTTGCAGCTCGAGTTTCTGACAGAGCTCAGCAGCTGCAAGTGCTGCCCGAATGGTTCCGAGGGAAACGGCTCTTGCGACAACTCTAATTAGTACATATTCTGCTGCAGAAATACATTGGGGTTTTTCCTTTCTTGATGCTAAAACCTGGTTCCAGCCACGTGGCATTTCTGACGAAGAAACCAACAGTGTTGGCAAGAGTTTTAGTGCCCTGAGTTTGCGCAGCTTAAAACAGCCAGTAGTAGAGCATTAGTTGGGATTAGAGCACTGGGTGCTGCATTTACGTACTTGGTTGATTTGGTGTTTAAATAATCTGCATATTTATGTGTTCAGCTGTCTTGCTAGCCTCTCAGTAGTAAAGCTTGATTTAAGTGATTGTAATGTACAATTACATTTAACTGAGTTTAATATAAAGTGGCGTTAAGTCAACATGCAGTTCTATGTTTCAAAGTCCTGCAAGCACCTGACACCAATCTGACTCCTCCTTCCTCAAACACTAAGTTTTCAACTTTGCGGTTGGCAACAAACATACTTTTCTCAATAGGTGTACTGTAGCCGCTAAAAGTTCCGTCTGAACTGCAAAGTGCTTTTATCTGCTACAGTAGACCTATTGTTAAAGGAGATACTGGTGAAGCTACAGTACAAGAATGTAAATGTCTCATGACAAAACAGAGGTGCAGCAGGACCTCTGGTCCTAGCATACTTTCAAGTTCAGAGGAAAGCTGAATTCAAACCTGTCATCCTCCATCAAACCAGAACCTGCAGGCTTTTCCTGGCATTTTGCAGAACAGCTACGTCACCCAGTATTTGGGCTCAGCTCTCTTCATTTTCCAGCAACTCTTGGGAATGCCAGAAAGACAGAACCAGAGAGCCCTTAGGTATGTAAGTAGCAGCAAGAAGTCATTGAACAAACTGGTTTTGAGTGTCAACAGTAAGACTTTATTTCAGGTATTCATTTAAGTAATTTAAGACTTCGTGTGTTGTCCAGTTGCCCCTAATTCACTGAACTATTTGATTTGCTGGTGTGCTCATGTAGATTTACCTTGGAAGTGTTTGCAGTAGGCTAAAACCAGTCCTGTAGCTAAGGAAAAAGAGGTCCAAAAAAATTTCACTATTTTCATTAATTTCACTTTGACATGATTGGCAGACAGACAATGAAATACTTCTGTGGGTTGAGGTTGTTGCTCAGTGGAAAATTTTCATCACTTTCGGTATATCTTTTTCTTGTATTGGTTGTTTCCTCTGGCTGCCAGGCTGCAGGAATTTCTTTATTGTGGGGATATTGCTTATTCTTGCTTTAAAACTCTGCAAAACAAAACCCAAACAGCACTGTGCTTAAGAACCATGGTAACTGTCAGACATTTAGATGTTATCTGTGCTCTAAAACTAACACTGTGGGTTGTTCCTGCAGAATAATCTATATGCTTCATCGTACAATGCTTTTGTGGCTCTAGTGACAGAAGGCAACAATAACCGTCAGTATTTGAGGCCAGCTAAAAGTACTGAGGATATTTGATTCTGATTTTGTATTTCACTTCTTTCATCACCCTCCCACTCTCCCGTATTTCTCAGCCAGTTTAAATCAGTGGTCCTGCTTTGATTCATTGTCCATTAAAACTGTCCATTCAATTACCTGCAAGAGAGGAAATTTGGCAAGTATATCGGGCTTGCACTCTTCTGCCATTAAAAGGGTTTCAAGTAAGTGCACATCTGCCCTGCTAAACTGGTTGCCAACGAGAAAGTCTTGTCCATGGTCTTTCAAAACCTAAAAACAGAGACCAGAAGCAGATGTGATTTTTTTTTTCTCTGTGTGACTTAATATGATATCTTCCGAGCAAGGTCATACACTGCATGGAGTTACCCTTGGAAGAAGGAAATGCACTAAGAACATCTGTAGTACAAACAAATGATCTGACCACACTGTCATCCTAGGCATAATTTATCAGTCCTTTCTCTTCTGCATTTCTTTCTGGCAGCTCAGTTGTACCCCTCTTGCCTTCATTTCTGTAGCTCATGTAGTCAGCACTGCTGTGTTGAAGGCTAAGCTTTGTGGGATACAACCATCACTGCAAGTGCCTATACAAAATTTACAAGAGGCTTAAGTTCAGCCCAGGGCATGGTTAAGAGTATCTTGGACTCTTTCAAATCATGGACAGCTCCCTTACTTCTCACCTGTTTCCTCTTCGATTTTGGGAATATGGCATTGGGAGTTGTCCACGTGTAACCTGTGCCTCATGGCCTTGACACCCAGCTTAATCCATCCTCCCTTTTGTTACAGAGGGAGCTGTAATGCTTTTACATCACAGGTATGTTAGAGGGGGTTCTGCACTTCAGGAGGAAACTTTATGTAAAAGCTGATGCTATAGTGTCTTTTGTCTGAAACAAAAGTTTCAGACGGAAACATGGACATGTGGGGAGCTCAGTGTGTCCTGAGTTTTTGCAGCTCTGCATCCCTCCCAGATTTGTTGTGCCTTCTGTCCCCTCTGTAGTGTCCTGTCTCCATCCTCATCCCAGCCCCACCAAAACCATAGCATTTATATTTAAGTGGTAATTTTTCTTCTCTGTTTTCCTCAGTAAAAATTGTTTGTGTAGATCCAGGATGGAGTTTCAGGAAAACAAGATTAATTAAGCTACTACATCTTTGCCACATACCTTCTCATAGACTGGGAAGTATCTGTTTGTGGCCTTGTCCACAAGAGTAGCAAAATGTTGCTCCTTTTTATCCGCTGGTTGGAAAGTATAACCCATGAGTAACTCATTAAGATCTGCTGTTCCTTCCGCGTACATATCAATTCTGAAAGAAATATATCCAGTTGGTCAAGTCAAACACAGTAGGTCTGAATAGCACCATAGCTACTGGCATAACCCCACTGAGATGTTGGGAACTCTCCGCCTCTTCTATCCAGCATGCATAGCTTGGAGTATTTTCTCCCAGAGTGCAGTAGCTTTCGGGGGGTGTGGGGAGTGTGGGTGAAAGACAAGTGCGAAGTGCCTAATCAAAAACTAGAAGACTATCCCTCTTCCATTTTTCACCAGGGGTGATACTTCTCTGGTTTTTTGAACCTGAGTACAAAATTGTCTTGTGCGTCGTCCAAATTTGGGTTAAAAATCCAGTCAGACATGGTAAGTTAAGCAGTGGGTCTATGCAATTCCTAACAAATATCTTGACATGTGTTTACCAGTGCTAATTGAAGCATTTAGAAATACTTCAAGTCAAACCATGTGCCATAAGAGCCCTGTCCTTTAATAACCAGTTATTAACTCTAATTCCTGGTTTTTAGAGAGAGAGACGTTTTTTGTTTCTGTCAAAGACATTCCCTGAATTTGATGTGGTGAAAATGCCTGCTGCTGGCAACTGCAGGACAAAATGAAAAGCAGCATCAGTAAGACAGTCTGCCCTCTGAACTCCTGACTGCTTTCTTCTGATATCTGGATTGACATTTGATCTCCATGAACTCCCTTGCACTGTGCTGCCTGTCTAATCTAGCTGGTTATTACTGTTGAAGGCATCACCTGCAGTCACAGTCAGCACGTGCTACATGAAAAGCTGCTATGTCACCCTGAATCTAACTGAGAGCTGGAATATTCTTGTGTTACACAGATAGTATGAACTATAGTAGGCAAACAAACAAACAAAGAACAAGCAAAGGTTGTAGTGTTACAGTACAGGGCTCTCTCCTTCACGTCCTTCCCATAGAGGTTGTATTTCCCTGCTATGTAGTTGAGGATGGCTTTAGTCTGCACCATCTTCATCCCATCGATCTCCACCATTGGCACTTGCTGAAACAGCAGGGATCCATCTAGGGAAAAGGGGACAAGACAAGGAAACGTTCAGTCTCTGAATGAGAACCATTAGTGGGTGTTCGGCAAAGTAACCACACATATTGTGTTTTATTTAGAACCGCAGAATCATTTAGGTTGGAAAAGACCCTTAAGATCATCGAGTCCAACCATTAACCTAGCACTGCCGAGCCCACCACTAAACCACGTCCCTAAGCACCACGTCTACATGTCTTTTGAATACCTCCAGGGATGGTGACTCAACCACTTCCCTGGGCAGCCTGTTCCAATGCTTGACAACCCTTTCAGTGGCAGTCTTCCTCATTCTCACAACGTGGTATGAAGAACGCTTACCACGAAGCCAAGAACCATTTCTTAGCGACGTGTTAATAACTTAATATTATAGCAGTCAGGTTCTTCAAATGTCTTCAAATCTGAGGAAGCACCCATATGCAGAACTTTTGGTAGTCGTACACTGAAAAAGACAAGCCCTGCACTGCGTGGCCCTGAGCCAGATGATTTTCATAGGGGTTAATACAGATAAAAAGGACTGCAGGATCTGACCCAGCCAGTTTCTATCATGCTTTTGTGAGTATTATAGAAATCTGGACTATTTAAGGGTTTGTCAACATACAGTGAGAATACAAATGCGTATAATATCTTTGTGGCTACTACATTGACTTTACACAATGGCATACATCTGTACAGGCGTGAGGCAAGGAATAATGGGTGGGTTTCATGAGATTCCTGCAAGAGCCAAGTAGCAATTGGTGTGAGAGTGTAGCCATGTAAACCCCTTACTAGTCTGCAGAAGCCTTATTCTAGCAAGGAAGAAGTCAAAATGCCTCCAGGAACCGATCAGAGAAGTGAGTCAGAGTATTTGCTTTATGGAATCATATTTCTTGACTCAGATAACTGATCACTACATCCATCTTTGTATCCACCATAAGGCAATCATGCGGAGAAGCTCTCTGCTATTAGGGGTACATTTTCATTTATGCTCATGTCGAGAAATACTTTTTGAAAGCCAGCAGGTGGCAGGGGGATCAAGTAACTGTTCTTAAAGGAGAGCAGGACTGCAAATGCCAGTCCTAGCTCAGACTTCTTTGAAAAGACAGATGAATGGGAAAAGCACAGATTTGTAATTTGGTTTGGAGGAAATGTGAATACCATGTTCACAAAGATGGAAGCTAAAGATAGCAAGGTGAGTAGTTGCCTTGGGAACCAGGAACACATCAGAGGTTAAACTCAAAAATCTGGAACTCTGATTTCATACAGATTATAACACAACTTTGTAGCCAGCCTAAAATGCTAATGAATTTCAAGATGATCTGATAACAAAAACCTTATATTGTCTTAGGACAGGAGGCAATAGGCACAAACTGAAACAAAGGAGAGTCAATCATCTGAACTTAAGGAAAAGCTTTTTTACTGTGAGAGTGACTGAACACTGGGTTGCCCAGAGAGGCTATGGAGTCTCCATCCTTGGAGATACTCAAAACCCAACTGGACAGTGTCCTGGGCAACTGGCTCTAGGTGGCCTCGCTTGAAGAGAGGAGGTGGAGTAGACAATCTCAAGAGGTCCCTTCTGGCCTCAGCCCTTCTGTGATTCAGTGAAGACTGAAGCAACTGGGTGGATGATACCGTCTAACACACTGCAGTGTGCATCTGTGATACCTCATGTAGAGTCCAGTCTAGATTTTCTTTCTAAGAGACATAAGCCTCCTAAGGTGTTCTAAGACAAACAATTTTAGTTATTATTATTATCTAATTATGAAAAAGTAAAGGAAACTTACCCTTCTGTAATTTTGTCAGATCATCCTTTGTTTCCAGAAAACTCTCTTCAAACTGCAGGAAGTACAGAAGAAAAGTTGTGTTGTCAGTGCATGCTTTAGCTTCTGCTTTGCATGAGACAATGACAGCACAGAGCTGTGATTTGGGGAATTTTATTTTTAAAAAAGTAAATCAGATTTGGAAGTAAAGTCTTTAAAAATTTATTTTGCCTCTGTCACATTCTCTCCTCTTCCCTGTCATGTGTGATTCATATTTTTGTGCAGGTAAGATTTTGGTTAAAGCTGAGGTGACTGAAAGGCACAAAACCCTGTCTGCTGAGCAAACGGCGACCATGCCAATTCTGTTGTCAGTGCTGGCAAGGGATGGTGCAGGGAGAGAGGAGGATAGGTAAATTCACCCTGCAGGAGCAGGACTGTCGTGTAGCTCCTTTGCCACAAGCTGGCAAGAGGAGGGACAAAGAGAAGAGATCATGTGCTCTTTTTTCCAATGCGCGCAGCTTTCTGGCACGTTGCCCATCACCATGACAAAACCTCACAGCTCTTAAAACACACAGATCCCCACACACCCTCTCCAGTTTGATATTAGAAACTGGTAGAGGTAAAACCAACTACTCTGTGTTTTATAATATACAGTACCTTCAGGATAAGCTACATTGTAGTAGGCATAACAATTATTTGCAATTTTGGACATTAGAATTTAACTGAAGGTCGTCAGAATTGAAAGTGCTCGACCCCTGTGATCAGAAGATAAGAAGCCAGGTTCTGTGGCTGCAGTTTTCAATTTCCTCTTTCACTAGCTACAGGGGAGAGGCATTTGTAAGTTCTACCAATAGGCTTGGCACACGATGCTTGGAAGTGAAAGGGGAACCTGCCCCCACTGCTTAGGGTAAGCTGGTGGTCAGCATTGGCTTGGTCAGCAATGCGCTGAATGCAGAGCTTGAAACTGCTGGTCAGTCACATTTTTTATAAGGAACAGTAAAAATACATATTTGTCACACTGTCTTAGTATAAAAAACAGAGGCAAACCTCAACCCCGGCTGCTGCTAGCAGCCACCGTATTGATTCCATCCGGCCTCGTCCATTGAAGTAGTGCAGCTTGGGTTTCCCAGACATGTTTCCACGTGGTTGATTTCCTACTACCTGAAATAAAGAAGTAAGGTTTGCAAAACAGAGATTGAGAATGCTGGTTTTGAGTCTCTCACTGGTTCTCAAGCATTGTTCAAAGTTGCCTTGTTTGAAACCAATGATTTATGGTCCAAGATTCTCATCAAATTAGCAGAGGAGGTAAAAGACTATAGTGAGAGACTGCATTGTATCATTTTGCCTTAAGATGTCTTTTACATGTGCAGGTCAGTTAAACAGAACTCTGTACTGAAAGCAATTGGCCCATCTCACAGAACATGCAAATCAAAACCCATTTGCAGCCCAAAGTGTTCTGCTCTGACCAAAAAGCAGGGTGTGTGAGATATACACTGCTCTGTTTATTTTGTATTATCTCAGGATAGTTTACCATTTAATCAATCAGATACACCATATAAACTCATCAATTGGTGTGCTTCCTCCAGCAACCATTATGCTCCATTATAAAGTGACAGGAAGGAATTTTTTCCCCATTGTAAGCATTCAATCTCATTTACAACGCTCCCCACTCCTCTCATTTCTGTAGGCAAGCACCTGAAGACATGGAATTTAGTTTTTGTCTCTGATAATCTTAGATTTGCCTTTACCACAAACAGCCAAAGTGCAATACCTGCTTGGTCCAATTGCAACTCTGCTGAAATTTAAAGCAACAACAGTTTCTAGACAGACTTTCATCCACCCCATTCAGAACGACATAGACAGTGCCTAGTGCATACTCGCGTCACAGTTACTAACACCGTGTCAACAATAAAGATGAAGCATTAACACCAGCAAAAAGAAAATGGCTAGCACACCCCCCCCCCAATATTCTCCTTGTAAGTAACATGTCATCTTCTTTAGAGTAGGAAGAAGGGGGTGAGAGGAGGCACTCCATGCTTCTGAGATCTGCATTTCTTTTTCTAAAGTCTGTACACCTGGAAAGCAGTTGATTAGTAATTTAACACTTGGTGCACATAACCATGCTAGTAAAGAAAGCACATACAGGTATTTAATCCATAAAACCCATTCACTGACTTAGTTTCAAGTACACTAATTCCCTATGCATGTCCAAAATCCAAAAAGCTTACCTTGTACGCAGTACAACTCACTCTAAGCTCTCAGTAGCTTTGCCTTGAGATTATGTAGGTTTGTAGCCCCTCCTACAAAGCGAATTGCAAACAGTTCTCTGCCAATGGGAAACACCTATTTCTTAAACAAAGAAAAACAATTTGGTCTGTTTGGTCACTTCTCACCTACAGAAAATCCTGACTAATGCTGACTGTGTATAAACGTGAGATTCACGAGAGTTCACAGTCATTCTGTGCCAGCAGAAAATTGTATGCTTCCTATTTTCAGTGTTTGGCAACCTGATAGTTAAAATAATCGAAATGGCTGAAAAGCTCCCACAATTTAAAAAAATACTGTGATAGCAATCAACATTTCATTTTAATATTTTATGGTTTTTTTACTTTTAACAGATCGCCTCTTTACGTAAGTCACAATAACAAATTCAGCTTGAATCCTTCATAAGCTTCCTTCCCTTCCTTAGCAATGGGGGATATTGCTTCAGGACATTTTTTCTGCTGAATTTCATTCCTGGACATATAAGATTTTTTCTGTTTCTGTCAAAAATGTTTCCCTGAGTTTGGCCTCATGAAAATGCACGCCAAAGGCAACCACAGGAGAGAGTGAATGAAGAGCGGCATCAGAAGACAAACTGCCCTCTGCACTCCTGACTCATTTCTTCTGATAACTCTGTTTACTTCAAAGAGTCAACAGACCATAAACTCCCATGCACCTTCCTGCCTGTCTAATCTAGCTGGTTAATATCATTGTAGATATCACCTGCAGGCAAGGTCAATGTGCTATAAAAATCTGCTGAATCACCCTGAACGTAACTGTGAGCTGGAATATTCTTCTTATATTACACAGGGAGGTTGTATGAATTGTAGTCTATCAAACAAAAAATGAGTTGTTACAGTACAGGGGGCTTTCTCATTCAGGTCCTTCCTGTAAATGTAGTTTGCTGCTGTGTAGCTGAAAATGATCCTCATCCCATCAGTCTCCACCACTGGTACCTATTAGTCCGATGTGTTCCAAGCTTGACAATTAAATAAGCTTAATTTTTTATTTAGAGCTAGAATCTCAGAAGGACAAGGCATCAAAACAGTCACCACTGCAATGTCTTGTCTTTTAGGAGGTGCCTAGTCCCCAAATGGAACACTCTATACCCTATACAGCACGGGAGGAGAGCCAGGCTTCACAGAAGGGGACCCTTCACTGACAGCACATCCTCTAGCCTCCACCTTCTGGTTCAGGCTCTTTTCTTTATTTCCCCCTGTTCTTCTTACATTTTGGGAGGTTCTCTCCAGCCTCTGAAAGACTGCAGCAGGGCTGAGTCACCTACACAGAGGTGTCCACACTGCTGTGCATGTTCCAGGGTGCCCGCTGGCCTCCAGCTACTGCTCCAGGGAGCCTGGCTCCGCAACCTTTGCCATGGCACAATGGCCAGCCCTGCAGAGGTGTCACAGAGAGCCCCAGGCACCTGTGCTAAGTGCACCAGAAGCCCACTCTTGGTATCGCTGTAGAAGAACAACCCGCCCACATTTTGTTTCCTGTTAACATCCAATCTGAAATAATTCATTCATATTTTATAACGAAACAGAACTCTGTATAAGAATGTTTTATTTGCTTGCTTGAGGAGTGACTGCTTTCCCCTCTAGGCTTCTAGGAGTGCTGACTTTTGCTGTTAGCACAGTTTTTTTTAAGAGCAGAAGATCAAACTACATTGCTGGAAGCAGTGTTTCCGGCATTGTTGGACAGACGTGACTTATGACCCAGAATCTAGGATAATGTGTGAGACTGAAGTTTCCCTGCATAGACATGTGCACTGAGGCATGTTCGGTAGTGTTTCACAAATCCAAACTCACTCTTCGGTAGCTTGGCTGGATTAATCATTTGTAGGCCTGGCCATGTGACTGCTCCTACAAGGACTTGACATTCACTGTACTGGAGGACTGCAAGGTAAGAAAACGTGACTTCAAGCATGAAAGTCAATCACAGTGTAGACAACTTGGGAAAACTCATCTCACATAACTGTGTAGACACCTACATCTAGCCCAGCTGTCTAGTCTCCTTTAAATAGGTCTAAATTCAGGTCTGAATTCAGGAGGAATCCTTCACCATACACTTGACCTACAGCTGATACCCGAACTACTTGAAAGAAGGCTGTCTCAGCTGAGGCAGTTAAAAGTTTACATTAAGCCAGTCCCTTCAGCCTTCCCCTAGGGGAGAGGAGTAGAAGTCTTCAGAGGGTGATTTATCTCAACATTGACATTTCTTACCCTGTCAGAGGAATTCATCAAGACTTCAGGCAAGTCCACTTCAACACGGTTACTACCCTAAATAAAAGTGAAAAATACAATGCAGTCTGTCTCCTAACTTAACAGGACTTTTGGAAATGTCACTTCACTGAGCTTGTAAAGTAGTTTGGAAAATGCTATAGAAGTGTGATTTGTATCTTGCATGCCTGAAGGCATCTGATCTCTTAAGAATGTCTTGGTCCAGATTGACCATCCAGGACTTGAAACTAGTGGAAATGTCCAAGATACCCTAATAACTTAAGAGTGAATATTCACCCCAGCTGCTGCTGTTGCCCACCAGCTTGTTTCCATTTAGCCTCTTCCTTTAAACTAATAAAGTATAAATATTTTTTTTTAAAAAAATTGGGTTTTTTTCAGGCATGGTACTGATTTCTTGACAAAGCATTGGGAAGTGTTTTGTGTCATCAGGCTTTGCGAACTTTCCTCTCTATATGAAACATATCAGAATTATGTTAATTTGGGTTGGAGCTGTGTTCAAAATTAGGAGCCTATATTTGAAATGTACTTGCAAGGGGAATAGGTGCACGCACAAACTGTTGTGCCTTCTGGCGTTAGCAGGCGGGATGGGCACTGTAGAGAAGGGAGCCTCACCTGTGGCTAATGAGACCTCTTGGGATATACCCAGTCCTGCTTTGCTGCAGAAATAAAGTGCAGCTCCAGTGTTTCATATTATTTAAAACAAAGGTCCCATTTGTTCTTGTTTTTCCAAACTGGTGCTGCCCATCTTCAGCACACTTGAAAAGTGCAGCTCACAGATTATGTCCCATGAAACATTTCTCCACACTGAATCACACTCTCTGAACCCAGCAGCGTAAGGGTGCAATGTAAGTGTCTTATAAACCCTGGAATATGTTTACAGAAGATAGTCTTGGAGAGGGAAGAGAGAAAAAAGAAAGAAAATTACCTTTTCTCCAGTGATCCTCATGCTGACATAACACTTGGCTTCGGGTATGTGAAAGGCATTAGGTGTTTTCCCAAATATTTTGCAGAGCAAGTGGGTTACCTAGAAGCCAGCAGGTGTTCTCAGTGCTACTGAGCTTGCAATTTTTTTTTTTACAGCGATGTGTTTTTGCCAGCAGTTCCTTGTATGACAGTTTGGATAACAAATGCAAGACCTTGCCTAAGCAAAACCAAAACAACACTGTGATATTCAGTGAAAATTAGTGACCATCTGTCTTTGCCTAACATCATCAGCTCCTGCCATCCCCATATGAGGCAGCAAAGAGAAGGCTGTGAATGGGGTGTTACATGCTCACTGCTGCTTTTAGAGCTGTCTCTCCACATAATAGCATGTTAAGCTTTCAGATTTCCTTCTAGTTCCCTCTAGTTGGCTCACTTTCTCCCTCTCTCCTGCTTAGTTTGTAATCTTAGTTTGTGTCTGCTTGGCAAATTCCAAACTGTCTCACTTACCTGTGATTATTCCCTATTTTCCCCTCCATGCTTCCAGCCCCTGGACCTTTCTCCTTTCTGTATGTGATTCTCTCTCCATGGAGACAGTCAGTACGTAAGAACAGAAAGCAGCATGCAATTGACAAGCAGGCAGTATCAGGACTTCCAGAGCATTTCACACCTGAAAACCTTCTCTTCAACAGCTTTCCTTTTCTTTTCTCC